AGGGAAAAAAGTTTCTAATTATCAAGCAATCTAGGTTCTAATTGAGAAGACTGTGCCAGAAGGGTTACCTCTGGGATGGACCAAGGAAATCAAAGTGACAAAGAGGGGTGGAAGAATCAGAAGAGACCCGGTATGCAGCCTGTACTTCTCCTTATGGAAAAACTTCTCTAAAAGCTTCTTATTCCTTGATGTGAACATCATTCTTTATCCACAATTCTCTCAAATCTTGTTTCTATAAATACTCGATTGGCGCTTTAACTTCAATTTGCTTACTATGATGCTTTAAAGTTATTGAGTTACTAATACAGTTAAGCCTCTAAAGATTCGTATAGAATTTAACTTATCGTTATTTTCTGCAGTTGTATACTGACCCTGTTAGCGGGTATGTTTTCCGCTCCATGAAGGATGCATGTCGCTACATTGAAAGTGGTGTCGTAGGAAGGCTGGCATTCAAGCGAAATGATAGAGAAAACCATGATGTAGAGTTGGAAGATGATAAAACTTTTGTGGGTGCATCAATAAATACCTTTCTATTCTCACATCTTTATACATTCAATTAAGCAGATATTTTCTTTAGTTGCATTCTCCAACCTTTTCCTTGTATAGTTTCATCTAGTATTTTTTCTTTTGTTAGTTTGGTCTATCTCTCTTTTTGTCAGTTCAAGATGGCCAGTCTATAGATTTAAATTTGTCAAATTGTCCGATCTGAGTTGACCAACCAGAAGAATGAAAATAGACTCAACCTGAATCAGATGCTTTTAATGGTAAGACAAGTGTGATTTATTTACCCATGCTCAGACCTATTTAACCACCATTCATCATCTCCAAAAGTGGAATACTATCTGAAACATGAGTTGGGCAATCTCATCTAGCTCTATCATCTTTCTTCTAATCTGTCAACAGGTGAATGGCATTAGAAATGCCTTACCCTTTCCCCTCTATCTTTTTTGAAGTTTGAGTCAAGAAAGCTATTAGCGCCAACCTTTTGCCTCTGACAGTTGAGTGCTCTTTTGAATTCTAACTGCTGGTCCAAGTTGCTCTTTCCCCATCATGTCCATGTATGTGTAAATAGTGGCATAAGAGCAGAAAACGACTTTACCTTTAATTTGCCCACCTTTTCTTGCCTCTAAAAGTTACTGTGCTTTTGTAGTGTGAAAGTGTATAAGCTTTCAGGTAACCCCAATCTTTCCATCCCTTGTATGTTCAATTATTTGCTTAGCGATGTCACTCTGTATGTTCTTACTTCTAAAACTGATACCCAGAACAACACTTAAACAATATACTTTGTTGTGTAAGATGCATGAATTGGTGCATTTAGTGACATTGATGATTAGCCAAATTTAATTTCTGCTGTTCCTTGAGATGCCAGTTGAAACTATTGATTGGCTTAGATTTGGTATCTTCAATTTGTTGACTTTTTGAGTGTTTTTTCCCGTTTTCTATCTCGTAGTCACCAGCTGTAGCTGAGAAGGAAGGGTCGGAAGTCCATGAAAAACAGAATCCAGTTATAGGTGATCAGAGCTTGAAGTCATGTGAAATTGCTAAAGATGATCAGATACTTACTTCAGTTTCTACAGGAGAGTGCGTAACTGGCTCTGAACATACATCTGATCAGTTTATGTCTGTAGCCAAGAGACAAAATGTGGAAGTCAACAGAATAGCAAGTCCAATTGTCAGTGACCAGAGCCCAAAGTCATTTGAAATAGCTAAAGATGAACAGACACTTAATTCAGCCTCAGCAGGGGAATGCACAACTGTTTCCGACCATGATTCTGATCAGTGCGTCTCCACAGCCAAGAAACAAAAGTTGGAGGTCGATGGAACATCAAGTCAAATTGTAAGTGACCAGACCTTGAAGTCATGTGAAATTGATAAAGATGAGCAGGTGCATGATTCAGCCTCTACAGGAGAATGCACAGCTATCTCGAAGCATACTTCTGAGCAGTTTGTATCTGTAATCAAGAAGCAAAAATTGGCTGTCAACAGAACACCTAGTTCAATTATAAGTGACCAGAGCTTGAAGTCGTGTGGAATTGTTAAGGATGAACAGATACCAAATTCAGCCTCTGCAGGAGAATGCACAATTCTCTCCAAGCATACTTCTGGTCAGTGTATGTTTGTAAATTTCCTATCCTCTTACCAAGCAAAATGTGTATATTTGCTTTTTTTCTTTTTCTTTTTTTGCCCTTCTTGCATTCCCCCCCCTTGCTTCTTTCAATAAAGAGCCGAGTGTTGGGGATGGGAAGGAGTAGGTTGGGAAATTGTTCCCCTTTTGAGTACTTGATAGTTGGTTATGAGTGTAACCTGACAAATTGCCAGAGGACAAGCAATTGTTTGGGTATCCTGAGTGGGATCTGTTGGGTGGATTTCTGGGGTTTGTCGACTCTGAATCTGCTTATTAAAACCATAAGTATGAGTTTTCTTAACGATGCAGGTGGAGTAGGAACAGAATCAAGCAGCTCAGAATTTCTTGAGGATAAGGGTTCCAACCAAACAGAAGAGAAGAGTGATTCTGTTAAGGCTGAAGATCCTTTGCAAGCTGTTCTACAGGATAAACCATCAGTGGAAGTTGGGGAGACAAAAAAGGAAAGTAAAAAGACTGGAGTTAGAAAATCCAGGAAGAAAACTGATCTTAACCTTCCTCGTCGGGCCTCAAAGCGTCTTGCTTGCATTCCACTAGCTCCAACACCAGAACTGAAGGCAGCAACTCGAGCTCGTCGAGCTGCACTTGAACCAAGTAATGAGATCATTGCTAGTACAAGTGAGCAGGCTTCTTGTGGTGGCCCTGATACTGAGCTGAATACCAAGCATGCATTTGACACCTCCAAAAGCACAGAAATACCGGTGGATTCAAATGAGAGCAAACATGCTATTGTGGATGTGGAGCATGCTGGAAAGGCAGGATCAGGAAAGCAGGGGGACAACAAGCATCAATATGATGTTGCTTCCCCTCCTGGGAACCTCGCCACTGGAGAACATGCTGGAAAGATTGAAACTTACAGTATTGGTGATGAGAAGCAAGGACTGCCATTTGACCTGCCACTTGAGGAGTTATGGCAAGACCCATGCATTGCCTTTGCAATAAAAACTCTGACTGGAACATCCGTTGATGATTCTGATAGCATTAAAGTGTCACCAGGATCAAGCAACAATGAATTTGTGGGCATGGCTACTTTGGACAACCATGCTGGCAAGGAAGACATTGGGAATAATGGAAATCTGTCTATTCTAGAGGAACATGCTAGAGCGGTTGGAAATAGCAACAAGTCTGATGAGAAGCCAGTATCTCCTCTCGTCTTACCTTTTGCAGATGCATGGTCAGACCCCTGCATCGAATTTGCAATAAAAACTCTCACTGGTGCCCTTCCATTGGACTTTGATATGGTTCAGGATTACCTTCCGCCGCAAGTTAGCTCTTTGCAACAGCAAGAAAGTAGAGGCTTCACCTTGCCAAATGTAGGCGAGTTTCGCCAAACTGAATTTTTGTGCCAGCAATTTGGCACTTCAGAGAAGCCATCATTTAATCAAGCAGCTTTGGTAGGGACTGCATTGCCACACACTAAACATGTTAATTTAGGATACGCAGCTGCAGCTGGACCTAGTCGACGCCTACATAGTGAAGAGAGAAGCAATAAATGTCGAAGATAAGCAGTCCCCTGTGATTCAATTGTACAGATCAGGGAACTTTTCTGGATGTGATTATATTTTTCAGACTAAGATCATCCCAAGTTCTCTTGTTAGTTGTACCGATTCACCCTTGTGCTAGTTTAGTTGTAATCAAATTTTAACTGGATGACTATTGTAACTGTTAGAAATTTTCTAGTGTACTTGTCCGTTGTGGGACTGTTGTTGCATGCAATTCATCTTAGCCATCCTATAGTGTTCTACATGCAGGACTGCTCTTATTTTAGCACCTAATCTTGTGAGAGAGTGTTTTCCATGAACATTTCGCATGGTCAACAAAATTTTGTAGCTGGATCGAACGGTTAATGAAGAAGCAAGAAGATCAACGGCAAAGAAAAGAAAAAGAAAAGTGCTGGCACAATAATTGAAGCAGGAGAGAAAAGAGAGGAGAAAACAAAATGAAAGAGAGAGAGACGTCACAAAAGCTTGAATGATAATATTTTTAGAAATATTAGAAAGATTTTAACAAGATTAATTTATAAACACTAATAAAACTTGCATATCTAAACCAACTGTATTATTTTTATAAATAAATTTTTAAATATGATAATTCACCAAATTTTTTTGGTCAGGGTTATTTTTCAAAAATAAATAAATAAATAAATAAACTGAAGTAATAACGCACAACTTCTCTTTGTTCAACAAGGTTTTCTGAAGTAATAATGCACAACTTCTCTTTGTTCAACAAGGTTTTACTTCTGTCCATATTTGAAACTTTCTTAATATTACTCCTATACTTTCCAAGATTTTCATTGTTACTAATTGTAATTTGTTTAAATAGTTTTAAATTATTATTTTTTTTATATTTTTAGATGGTTGATATGTTTAATATTAAAAATAAATTTTAAAAAATAAAAAAATATGGTTTTAATATTTTTCGGACCATCCTGTTCCAAACTAGTTAGTATGCAAGCAGACATGCCCTTTTGCAGACATACCTCGCCAAGTTGATACAAGACCCCATTGTCGTTTAACTGTGTAGTGAATAAAGAACAGCTTAGAAATGTGGATTTTACTGTGTAGTCGTTCTCGAATAAAGAACAGCTTAGAAATGTGGATTTATATCCTTTATAGCTTGTCCATCAGATGTCTTTTCTACCAGGATGAAAATCTGAACTTCTCATATTGGCATCCTTATATCTGGATTCAAACACATGAATTTTCAGCATTACAAGTCGTTATTGAGGTGGGTTTTCTATGAAAATATATCCCTCTGGCTCTCCGGCTGTAATCAAGTAAAATAATCAGGCGTCTCTTGTAAACTTAACGTTGTTCTCATCATGAAAAACCAAGAGAAACTCACTTAAGATTGAACAGAACAAGCCAACAAGGCACACATTCCACGAACTTGAATCTGTTAAGTACATCTTGTGGGTTTCAATTTATGAACAATAATTAGAATTCTTGGGTAAAATGGAACAATTGATATCTTGAACTCCTCTAATACCTTTATATGAGGACATTAATGCACCTCGGCTATTTTAAATTTTGGTAGTAGAAGCATTTCAAAAGGCAAATGCAGTAACATAATGCACCAACAACCTTGATCATTCTTAGCAGATATGGAGTGTCCTCCCTCCTCTGACTTGCTCCATTGCAGTGTAAGAATAGAATTAAAGTCTTCTGAACATTTAGCAGTCAAAAAACAGGCACTGGGCTGGTAGATAAGAAGGTGTGCTGCTGCAGGGGAGATTGAAAAATGGATGGACTCTGTGTCGTGTAAAATCAAATCCAATCTCTGTTTATTTACAGCTGCTACAAAAAGCAGGAGAAACAACTGCATCAGACAGTCTCTAAGTACCTGGGCCAGTTACACCAGCACGGGCTCTTAACATCTCAGTTCTCTTGCTTCGTTCCATTACCTCCACGAGCCATTCTACACTTTCTTTGATCCCCATCCTGCAATCAAATATCAATCTATGATGTGTTGTTTGGATACTGAGATTGGTTGTCAGAATGAACCTGAAGTTATAGCATGTACTTACCCATCATATGCTGAAACAGCTTCAAAAATGTAAACCCTTTCATCCAGCTTCTTAAGGTCTAGATATCGAGCAAGCTCTTCTGCTGATGCAGCATCAGTAAGATCCTGCCATTAATTTGATGTACAAGAAACAAAAACTTTCATTTTGCTTAATAATATGAAAGATCAGCAAGTAGCACGATGCATATTCTTTGCACCAATAGAGGTGCAGTTGGTTATACCTGCTTGTTTGCTAATATCAAAAGAGGGGCTCCCTGCAGATCATCGTGCCTAAGAACCTTTTCTGTTAAAATAGTTCAAGGTATCAGTGCATCCTTCTATTACCAATAATAAGCTCTTCACTACTATTAAAACTGCAGCCGCATCATACAGCAGCATATTTTCCCCCAGTTTAACCATAGAATGTCACTTACCCAACGCGGATTTTGCATCTTCAAAACGTGATGGGCAAGCAGCATCAATTACATAAATCACAGCATGTGCCTCTTCGTAATATTTCTCCCAAATTGAGCGAAGACCAGGCTAACAAGAAAATTATGTAAAAGACCCTTCAAAAACTGAGCATGATGCATATACAGTGTTATACATCAAATAAAAAAGCAAAACTAAGGAATAAAATCACTTATCTAACTGAAATCTCATGTTATGTGTAGCCCATTTCACATAACAGCTGTAGTAATGACTAGTGAGAGCTTATGCATAATATTCTATTGTTTTTAATTAACAAGAAGAAGAGTGGCATAATGTACAATTGTAATATTTTTCTTTTACACAAGATCGAGGATTTAAAAACTGGTATCAAATCCTGCTGTTCAGCAGAGCACCTACAATGCAATTGAATTGGCTCAACCACAAAGTAGGAAAAAACACTTAAGCCTTACCAAAGTAAATTAAATGAAATTCCCACCTACATAGATTTTAGATAGTTTCAGAAAGTTGATTTTTTATGAATTTCACATACCTGACCTCCTAGATCCCAAAACACCAGTTTTGAATTTGCCACTTCAATACGACCAATATTTAGTCCAACAGTAGGAATAATTCGATCAGGAGGAAGGCCTTCCAAATTCGAGTGCACTGACTTCAATTTCTCCAGCAATGTCTACAAATTCACATACAAATCACTGACAATAAGTGAACTTTCTGGCAGCTATACATAAATGAAGAGATGAAAAATTTGTAAAGCTTAAGATGAATTCAACTAATGAGGCAAAAAGAAGCATTACCGTCTTCCCAGCCTTGTCGATTCCAAGAATGAGCACATGAAACTCTGTCTTACTAAATATATACTTCCAAAGGCCATAAAACAACGAGAACATCTCTGTGTTGTCTAATCTTATCAATTCGTTTCTTCCTTCTAATATTCAAGTCTCAAAGAATCAAGATTTCACAATTTTAAACAGATTCCTCTACTGCT